CCTTGATAGGGACCCTTGTAGGTTATCGGGGTTGATCAGGGGTATATAAGGCCTGTACCATGGTTATTAAGGTAATGGGATTAAGGGTCCCTATTAGGGGTCCCTCCTAAAGTCCTTAGATCTTGCAGTGAGGGTTTAGGGTTTTGGGGGTTTAGGGTTTAGGGTTTAGGGTTCAGAGTTTAGGGTCTTAGGGTCTTAGGGTTCATTTCAGAGGGGTCTCGGTATGAGGTCACTAGCAAGGGATCTTTAAGGGTTTAAGGTTTAGGTTTTGGGGTTTGGGGTTTATTTATAAGAAGGAACCCCCAAAGTAACCCTAAACCCTAAACCCTAAACCGGTAATTATTAAGGTCACTATAATAAGCGTCTCAACAGTTTAGGGTTTGGGTGATCTTCTTTTTCTCTCTCTGTTGACCGGGGCGTGGAGAGTGCATGTTGGTTTTGCCAGCTTACCACCTGAAACTGACGCAGCCTTTTGGCCAACTCTCCTCTAGCCACGGTTCATGGTTTGGGATTTACCGAGAGAACCCAATACCCCTAATTAAGGATTATGCCTTAAATCATAATTTTAGGCCCATATAGTGTAAGGTCCATTCCTCAATTAAGGTGTACTGGGTTCTCTGGGTAGGATACCCTAAACCCTAAACCCTAAACCCTAAACCCTAAACCCTAAACCCGGGATAAGGGGCAGCTACCGTAAAGCCCTTGTTGCGTGAGCAAATCTGCACGCCAGGCCTTCCTTCTGCGTGGGGAGCGCGTGCACGGTTGAAAAACAAAGCCAGGTAAGTACGGTTTAGGGTTTAGGGTTTAGGGTTTAGCTAAGGTTGAACCCATGGGCCCCTGACATGGGCCCTCAGGGGATTCTAGGGTCCCTTAAGGGTATACATAGGGTATATAGTAGGTATGTTAGGGTCCCAGGGTTAAGGGCCCATACTAGGGGACCATGGGTTGTTGGGTTGTACCGTTGAGTAAGGTAGGGGCCTTAATAGTTAGAATAGGGCTTGGGGTATACCACTGTTTAGGGTTTAGGGTTTAGGGTTTAGGGTTTAGGGTTTAGGGTTTAGGGTATATTCTAGGAGCCCCCAAAACCCTATTCTAATTATTGAGGCCCTACATTAAGGTTATCAGAGCCATTGCATGCAGGCAGTAATACGAGACGTCTGAGGGCCTACTTCAATCCATGCCGATGTCACCTTGCCTGCTCAAGACTTAGGACCCCTGCTGCTTTACCAGTTAGGGCGGCAAGTTCCAAGCTCTTAGAAGCAATCTGGCTGTGTGCAGTTCCAAGTGCTTTTTATGATCCCGGACACTGATTTCCCACCACTTTACCACCCGTGCAGCCGCACGTCACACACTAGTCTGGAAGTTCTCGTTGTATGTCGCCATGGTCACGCCAGCCTCACCCAAGTTTCAAGCAAACACGCCAAGGTACGCTGGATCGTTTGCGAAAACAGAGGGCAGTCTGGTAGTGATATTTGCATCAGGCTCTGCAACCAATTGACATTGCTTTGCACGGGACCCGCTGACTCGAGTGTTCGAACACCCAACATGAAATCTATCATTTTTATATCGCTTTCTATCATATAAGACCGTATTACATTTTGGTACAGATTGAGTTATATGCTTATCAGAACGTGGAACTTCGAACAATTGCCACCCTCACTGTTGATGCACACCCCAGACACACCAGGGACAAGCAATTCAGCTTTTGACGCCTTTCGTCCGCCATGGCGTGTGGTTGGAGCCTCGTTTTCACGTTGGGTTTAGGGGTTTAGGGTTTAGGGCTTCTTAAATCATGATTTAATGCGACCCGGTGCAAACACAGTTTTGTCCATTAGCCATTCGCCCCAGGCCTTCTGTTTCAGGATGTGTAGATACCTGTTCCCTTTAGTCAGCCGTGCGTACGGCAGCATGAGCATGACATTTGAGGTGGTTGTTAGTTGTTGCATGATGGTACGTAGGACGTAGGAATGACTCTAGGACATTTTCAGGTGGGTAGTTACCGTTACAGGAGCCTTCTAGAAAGGTCTACATACCTTATGGAAGCCTTATCGAAGCCCTATGATACCCTCCCCACCTGTAGTTTCCTTAAAAATGACTGACATGTCCAAACCCTGAACCCTAAACCCTAAACCCTAAACCCGCTTTGCAAGGCTGCGCCACTGGCACGCCATGCCGTACGATGCCAGCAAGGCGTGGCCCATGTCGCACTGCGCCGTACTATACTAATATACTAATACTGTACTATACTTTACTCTACCATACTATATTTTACTGTTCTATTTTCTGTATTTCACTATACTAGACTAGACTATACTATACTACTATTATATCATAATAGACAAAAAACCTAAACCCTAAACCCTAAACCCTAAACCCTGAACTCTAAACCGTTTCAGAGTGGCAAAGGGACCTCTGCCTCTTCGTCAGTCAAACCGAAAAGTTGCCGTGCAGCCTCCAAAAGAGCACCGTGCATCCCCGTCCACCGCGAGCGAGTCGGGTTTAGGGGTTTAGGGGTTTAGGGGTTTAGGGTTTAGGGGTTTAGGGTTTAGGGGTTTTGTCATTTCGGGGTTTAGGGGTTTAGGGTTTAGGGTTTAGGGGTTTAGTCATTTAGGGGTTTAGGGGTTTAGGGGTTTATGTTTTTAGGGTCGGAAGCCATGGCCGCCCCTGTGCGCCGCGCGCGCATCAGGAGACCCAGCCTCTCGACTCGAAGAGAGCTTTGCAGTGGCTTTTGGGGTTTTAGGGGCTTAGGGTTTAGGGGCTTAGGGTCTGTAGGGGCTTAGGGTTTCAGAACACCACGC